ATTCTACGTACAAATATATACAAATACGACAAATACGTAGACGACATACGACAGGGTGTCCCACGGGGGTTCACTTATATTCAAAAAGGTAGATGGTATACGTACGCCGTAGGTCGACGTTGTTCGCGTCAGTCCATGTGGTGCTGCCGTCACTTTAAAATGGTAAATATTCGCGAGTTTTGCACAGCGTGTATACTGTACACGTATATACGTTTATTTAATATTACACGCGGCAGACCTTATATACCTGTACGCGTAATCCGCATACACGGTCGTACGCCGAGGAACACCGATGTATATAAGCTTCCTATAACCTGACTCGAGACGCTCGTTTTATACTTTTTTTTCTCTTTTTTTCGAATGTAACGTAAAAAAAAAAAAAAAAACTCCGACTTCGGTCCATACGCGATGCAATTTTAATTAGAATTACCTATGGATACTGCAGCAGGTACGCCTGTGGCGGCGGGTTTTTACGGTTATAACATGCTTGGTATACGTGGTGGGTGTAAGTTATACCCAGGTACTATTATATCTGTCTCGGACTAAATTATTTTTATAAGCCGAAAGCGATGTAATATTAAATGATGATATGCCGACTGTAACGCGAACCTATACCTATAATTATTATTGTCGTCGTACGCCACACCACATCGAAATCGATAAATACATCTCTTCGCTATTCTTTTTTTTTTGGTAGACTTGTGCGTACGTATATTATTATCCACTGGTAAAATCAAATAATGACTATCTTTCCAAAGTTTCTGTCTACGCCTAACGAATAACAATATCAAATCGATTTCAAAATGAAAAAAAAAGGGTCGAAGACAAAATGCTGCACGAAACTTTTGTGGCTTTATCGTGGCCTGAAAGTCCTTGCACCGTTCAGTCTACATTAAGTCTTAACATAAGATATCGCGAGATAAATAATTGGCGGAACGCTTCATGTTATTATATTATATAATATAAATTGTGTAAATATTTTCAAAATTTAAAACTTAAAAAGATTTTATAATCCAAAAACTACAAACGGCAAAAAAATAACATTTAATTATCTTCCGTCCTGCAATATAAATTTATCGTATTCGTTATCACCAAAGGCGTTCCCCAGACGGCCCAGACAATTTTCCATTGTACACACACAATATAATATAATATTATGTACTTTTTAAATATCATGGTTTTTTGTTAGATAAATGTATAATAATAAGCTAATATAAAAGAGCTAAAATAATTTAAATTCACTTGGCTAGTTTTTTTTTTTTTTTTTTACTTACTTAATTTTGTACTTTGATACGCTAATAAATAGCAACGCTCTCAGTTCTCGAGGTCTATTATCTTATTTAATTTTAACATTGGTACTTTTATACACAGAAAAAAATATTTATTAATCAAATATCGATTTGGGTACTATTTGTGTGACACAAATCATAATATTATATTCGTATTACAATCATTGACCTGAAATACTAATCAATGAAAACTGAATAAAAAAGAAAGTCCGAGGGAAGTGGCGACTGCCCCTACTTTCAGGTGCCCTAGTTTGATACTCGCCATATCAGGTACTTCGTATTAAGGAAGCCCTTTCACGAATAATATAATTATTAAGCTTCATGATATTTTTTCTTCCATTTTTTATGGAAAACACATAATATAACTACTGCAACCATTTAGTTTCAATATTTATATCTGTGCAGCGTAAGTTTAACCACTTACCGCACATGCACGATGTTAACTATAGCTATAGCGTATAGATGCATATTTTAATACCATTTAAACCTTGAAAATTAGGATAAGTAAAAAAAGTAAACAAGCAGTTTTTTTAATTATACATCAATTTATAATTGGTATTTTTAATTATTTTTCTTCTTACAAAACGTATATCACATTCAAAAGTTGAGAGAACACCGATAATAATAATAATAATAATAATAATATGATTATAAATATTATAATTTATAATGTTTAAATTATTAAACTTTAAACCTATAACAGGAATCAAAAAAAAAAACTTATACATATATACTTAAATACAATATATCATGGCGCATTCGAAATACAACAATCATATTTCCAGACAAGTAAAAATACCAAAAAAAAAAAAAAATAAAATAATAAAATAATAATAATAATGTATACAGGTACTACATAATATAATATAATAAAACACAAGAAGACTGGGCGCGCATAAAAATCAATATTGTAAATTTTGTAAATAAACATCAAAAATAGTTAAATGATATGGTACGGAAAAAACAATTCCGACATATAATTTAAGTTTAAATAATACATATATATTACAGATCGACGTGGATAGCTTATAAAAATTCACGTTTCTGTTGCACGTAGTACATAATATAATTTATACAACTGGGTAGGTATAAGGTGTAGGTATGAGTAATGTGTATAAATATATATCAAAGTATTAATTTTTCATTTAATACTTACACGATATACTATAAAACAATTTGGTCAATTATAAATATATATATATATATATAAAAAAAAAAAAGTAAAAGTAAAATTACAATAATATATTAAACATATAGGCCAATTATATAGGTTCATAATTGTTTGATACAAAAATTGTTCAAGTATAACATAATATACATATTATTATAATATATATCGTACGTTATGTATGCAATAAGCCTAAGTATCACAACAACTTTATTTATTAATATATATATATTGTTAATATTATCACGAAGTCGACGCCGGGTACAGAAAACGATTTTAAATATTTATAACGGAATGACAGATAATATATATATATAGCTAAACTATGGTACTGTATTATTATTATCTCTCTATCAATCTATCTGTCCATCTACACACAAATAAATAAGATGGAAAGAGAGAGCGAAAATGAGAGAGATATTGAGTAAAATAAGTGACAGAACTGCTTATAGCACACACATACAGAGGGAGATAGAGGGAGTGAGAGAGATCAGTGCAAAATATCTACAAATACTATAATACATTTACAAGGTCTTAATATATGAAGACTCCCTCTGTCATTGAGTCTGGCACGTTATATAAAAAATAAAATATAATAGTATATTATATTAATACTCAAATATCGTGCAATAAGATTTTCCTTTAACATACTTTTGATTGACATAATATTACACCAACATATATTTATATATTACGACTAGCAAACGTTAGATCAGTTTAAATAAAAAATTATTAACACGATTAACCATTCGTGAGGGCTGAATATAATAATAATTAATAGTTAAACGAAGATAATATACATAATAAAATAATATAGTTAAATATAAATACAAATTTTAATTGACCAAACGATTATATAAAATATTGGTAGTAAAAGTCTCAAATTATTTGCGAAAAATCATACATTGTGAATATATTTATACGTTACTACGTCATGCGTTTGCGTGTAATTTTTAGCTCTATATTTAACTTTTAACTTTTTATAGAATGAAAAAAATGAATCCTTTTAATTACAGGCGCGTTATCACTTCATTTTACCAATGCATATATTAAACAACATCGTTCGACGTCGGTCTCCGAAGTCTATCTCATTCATGTACGAATTTTGTACCACTTAGACGAAAAAAATCAACGTTTAACATTAAAGGAACAATATATGGTTTTAATTTTATAATAATCAATAAATTAATAAATTTTGTTCGGCAATTAAGTGGACAAATACATTTGAGGAAATACAATGTGACACTACGCATCACTACCAGAATATAATGTAAAATTAACATATCAATATAGTAATATGTACGGTTGAATGACAAAAATTTTAGTCTAATAGTAGTTGAACGTAAATACGCGCACTGACATGATAACGGAACATGAATAACGCTTAATTATCACACGTTTAAGAAACAAAAATGTAAAAATTACATTTTTCAAACCGGAAACAAAATAATAATATTGGAAGCGCCTGCAAACTTCCACAACAAAAGATGGTGGTCGCAATGGTAGTTGTGATGAAGGTGGTTGAGGAAGATGACGAATATTATTACAATTATTAATCGTGTATTTAAAGTGTACAATTATTATAATAAAATAAAATTATAAAAGGTATATTATTCTTTTTCGGTTAAATATATTTTTATTTTTTTCAGTTAGGCAATTATGAATATAATTCATCAAAATACCGATAATAACTATTAAATAAAATGCAAAAGATTAATTAATTTATATTCAGTATTTTTAAAAGCTTTTTATATACGACGTACATCGTACATCTATATAATAATTGTAATATTGTTTATGGAACAGTAATAATTGTTATAATGTCATTTAAACAACTATAAAAAAAAATCCTACACACACACATACACAAAATAGATAGATTTTACGAGTATTATTATACAAAACAAAACATGGTTACAAACGATTTTCTTCGAAAACGTATTACACAACCCAGTCTACTCAGTAGCTTTCATTACTTATATTCGTTTTTTTCAATTTTTTTCAAGGTTCATATAACATTCGATGGCTGTCTAAAGTAAGCACCCAGTAAAAATTTCAAAAATAAATTAGGGAGGGTGGGGGGGGAAACTGAAAAAGGTTTCCACTATCGATATTCTTTCCTTGCAGTATCGGTGACATATAGATAGGAACAGCATAATAATATTATCATATTGTGATTTACACAAACGTATTATTATAGGAAAACGTGTAATCACAGACTATCTCGAAAGGGAGACGAGGCGCACACGATTTGATAATAATAATTTAACGTCCTATCAACAACTTCTAAAAGATTTGTGAGATCACTGCAATCAATGGGTAGTTGTGGGTGGGACTGAGTTGGGTGAGGGATGGGTATTAAATTAAATATCGATGAAATATGATTACGCAAATTCGCGAAATCATGTTGCAGCCTAAAATATAATTTACTGAGTGCTTCACGTACAAATAACGATGTTATTTTTTTGTTTGCAAATAAAATTTTACCAACACATATAATTATATATGTATTGTTAATATAATATATATTATTATATCAAATAAATATGTATACATAGGTACTTACCTAATAAATAATATAAATCTAAATATTTTAAGCTTCTTAAATGTTTTTCGTTTCATTCTTAATCACTAAAAATACACATCAAATAAGCATTTTCCCTTTTGAATCGGTGTGAATACGTTTTCTCTAAAATTAACTGGAAATAAAAGCGGGATACGACTGGTAAGGTGAATGTACGAATTGTACTGGAGATCCGTAAGTAGGCGGCACGAACGTGATCACGTTCGATGGTTTAACCGGAGACGTGTAGTTAGGATATGAACCCATCATACCTTCGGCCTGATGTATTTGATGCTGTTGTTGCTGTTGCTGTAGGTGTTGTTGCTGTTGCTGTTGGTGTAGTTGCTGTTGATGCTGTTGATGTTGTTGCTGTTGTTGCTGTTGTTGCTGTTGTTGCTGTTGTTGCTGCTGTTGTTGTTGTTGAAGATGCTGCTGTTGCTGTTGGTGCTGGAGATGGAGATGGCTGTTGCGGTTGTAGCTGTTGTTAAACGGTGGCGAAGATGAAGACAACGATCCGGGGGATGTGGACACTGAAGACGAAGACGAAGATGACGACAAAGGACGACCCGGTTGTGTGACAGCCATTTCATGCGATTGTTGTATCGGGCCCTCGTACAGTACACAAATGCTACCGTCCTCCTCGCCGATGCGGTAGGAAACTTCAGATGGGTCAACCCACAATGTAAGTTCGTCAGGCAAGTACGTGCGGATCAAGTGGCAGGACAAGCCGCAAGCGTCGGCCGCGCGGGCTATAATCGGGTCCATCTTGTCTTTGTTGATTCTGATGCACCGGTACGCGGATCCACGGTTCGGCGACTCAGGAAACCAAAAGTCTTTGTACTGGCGGTTCATGACGGCCAACAGCGACAGTTGTAGCATCTCTATTTCGGGTTCAAGAAAGAACTTATCACCCTTGCTGCGCACCAGCTTCGATCGGTGTCCCGCACGCAGCATTGATATGATAAACTTAACGGCAGATTCCAATTCCACCCTCATCGTGCGACTGTGATATTGCCTATACTTTTTCTATTTATACGATAATGTAGGTAATATGTAATATACAATAGCACAACCTGTAACACACAAACACCACAATTATTAACAATACGGGACGATGTATTACATCAATAATCAAAAATTAGATTAAAATTTAAGTTTAACTTCGAACACATCGAACAATTCGAAAATATTCAAGAGAATACGACGGACGACAAAATTTGTACAATTGATCTACGTTTTAAGTTGGATTATGTATTGTACCTATCCAAACTGAAAATCAAACTTTCAATAATGATTAATTAAATTTTGCTCCAGACTCAAAACAATATTTTTGAAAATCAACAAAATTTTCTGTTAATCGTGCATTTATTCGAATTCTAATTTTGAAATTTTTAAGCATAAGTATAATTAGACTATATTTTTATGGTATTTATGAAATGGATATTTATATTTCTTCAATATTTTTTTACTTAACATTTATAAACAGATATTTTTTTATTTTTTTCATTTTTTTATCATATTGATACGTATCTCAACATTTAAATTTAATCAAGAAGTTTCTGAATTTAAGAAGATTCCAAACCTGCTTCGAAGTTCCTACTTTACAAGTACGTAACAGCAAATTAAACAGTTCACAATTAAATTAGTTAATTTCCATCTTAAATCACTAATTAAATTTTAGAGTTTTTTTCAAAATCTGAATTTTAATATTAAAACATAACTATATGTGTGCAATACGTTACGATTTAAAAATCAAAAATACTCGTGATTCGTGACTTGTATAATATACACTTTAAGATTAGTTAATTTATTATATTTATACCTTTTACCTACATACATATATTAATACCTAATATTATATAATAATTCATATATATATATATTATCAATATACCTATAAAACGACCAATTATTATTAAAACAATTCACCTCCAATATATTCAAACCAAGGAAAGCTTAAACAACTGAATACCTCACTAACTACGTATAAATATACAACTAATGTCAAAACCAATCTTCTAAACTTATAGGACTTTTGTCAATCTTAGCCTAGTCGTAAAATTTCCGTTCACCTTTAAACAAAGTCTATTCCCTTCAGTTAGTAGTTTTGATTCTCAAGCAGAAAGCTTTAACAATGCACTGTCTTGAAATGTATATTATCATTTAAATTGCGTATAATCTAACCTATATCTTTGTAATGATAGATCATTATTTTTATGTTTAAACTTATTTCCTTAACTTTTATCATACATCTATCTCTTGAACGTGACAAGACATGCTATGTCCTAAAATAATCATAACGTCTAAAAAGAGATTACTACATTTGCTAAACTCCTTCAAAATTAAAATATCAAAAATACCTTTAACAGGACACAGACAATGTTATTAGATATTAAATTCCTTTAAGTTTGATAATATAGGTTGATTCAATCTAATATTAAAACTAAGTAGGTATTAACGAAACTAAATATAAACTGTTTAAGTACACTGTCGTTGTACATTTTAAGACAGACAACAAATGCGGGTGTGGCATCCTCTTAAACTATATTATGTACATAAACCATATTTAATAAGGATAATAGTCCACGATAATAGGTTTAAATAATATGAACTATATAAGGCTTAAGGCTACAATAATTTGAAAAATATAATAATTAATATAAAATATTTATTAACATTTTGGCAAAGTTCATTTCTCTCAAAAAAAAAGATACTTTTTACCTTCATAAAAAGGTTAGTTTTCATTTTCCATAAACATTTTTTTGAACTTAAATTATGTCTATTTTTCTCTAAATATCAAAATATTTTGCCTACACCAGTGTTGTAAAGTTTTATACCAAATTATAAAGAGAATAAGATTTAGAATCGCACTATATGTTTTTCTAGTCGAAGATCCGTGGTTAAGCGAAGAAATGTCTAATAAATAACTAAAGATAAAATAATTACTCATCTGTCTGATACTTTTTTTCTTTAAACATATATTAATTTATTGTTGAAATATCTAATAATTATGAGATAATATAATTGTTAACAATAATAATGTTTAGATAAAACTCATAATTAATTTTTTTTTTTTTAGTAGTATATTTATAATATAACTTAAAAATATATTTATTATATTCTTAATTTCTAATTGTAGTTAAATAGAAAGTAGAGAAAAATAGCTAAGATTTACTTTTTATTTTTGAAGGAAAATGGTACGGTAAACATTTTATATTTGTGACTTCTAGGGTAATTGTTTGAGTAAATCATTAAGTTTTGACTAAATATTAAATAATTTTATATTTTATGTAAACCGTTATAAAAGAGTGATTCTTAATACAAAAATTTGAATAATATAAATACTTCTAGTGTAAATTAAAATATATATACACATTGCCGTATCTATTAAATAAAAAAATAGAATAAAATTATCAAAAAAGAAGGTAGTTATAATAATTATAGTTATTTATTTTTAAGTAGATACTTAATATCAACACAGATCACTATTAAAATAGTATAGAAATATTAATATTTAAAAATACTTAAAAAATCGGAATTTGTATAAATGCATTATTAAAAGATAAAAGGGATTGAGCATGCATGGTATCATTATATACGCATTTTAAGAACATGCAACTGACTGTAACGCCATTATAAATAATATTATTTAATATTAAATAATTAAAATTCAAACTTTATGGGCATAAGACACATTTTATGAAGATAAAAAAATCACACGCATACACTGTAGTCTGATACCAAAATGTCTTAAACTTCAATAATTAATACAACATGATGGTCAGGTGACATAATAAATGTGGTAATTCATTATGTACCTATAATATAAATACATACATACGGGAAACTACCCTCCATCTACTATCGCTTTTGAATAAATAATTAAATATCTACAATCTACATGTAAGTACCGATATACAGGTTTATTGTACAATTAAACATGCAAAAAATAAACTTTATCTAAATAATTATTCAACCAATAATAATCGACCAATGGTGGTTTGCTGATAAATATTTTAAAATAACATAATATAACCGTTATTGCAGTTATTACTAGTTATAAATATTAAAATCTTTTTAAGCTTATTAAGTATGCTAATAACTAAACGGCCAGTAAAAATTTAGAAAATTTAGAAAATATATTCAACACAATAGCCCTCCCATCTTCAAATTATCTTAATTGCATACTACTTAAAAAGTGGCATATATATTATTAATCCCGTAAATTTCGTAATTTGATATAAACATACAATTAAATTATAGTAAGTACAGGCATTGATCCATACTTGGTGTTTTTTTTCGAGGTTTTTTTCCTCTAAAATAAAAATAAAAATAATTATTTTTTGAAATAATAAGTTAAAATTATTCTAAAAATTAAACACATAATAATAAACAATAATTTAATCAAAATTAAGAATTAATTGTAATTGTAATACACACTTATCTCTTATCGTGCATAACTAATTTTTTTACAACATGCAAAGACGTCTAATTGCTTATGGTAAATTAAAATATATAGTTACTACACTACTATCAATTAATAAAAACAAATTATCTAGTCAGAGATTGGTAGAGGCGAAATAAATGTAGCTACAACAATAACAAATGTGTATTACTTTTATGCAAGTGTGACTATTGTATAAAAGTATTATTGAAATAAAAGAGTTCATTTAATCAACTGATAGAATATACAATTATTAAACAAATCAAATAGACATAGGTAATATATTCAATTTTATCAATTGATAAAAATTGATATTAAATGTTCATACCTGAAGTGGATATTATATACACATGATGATGTGTTGTTTCCATTTTACAAACTACCAACACAAAAATTTATATTCTCTCAATTTTTAAAGTACAACTATTATCCATGCGTACAACTATTATCCATGCCATAAAGCATAACATAAGATATTTTGATATTTTGATTTTAAAACAAGCTAAGAGTATTTTATAATCGTACACATTTGGTATTATTTAAAACGCTTATAACTTAGAAATTAAATTTTCCAAAATATCATCTGTAGAACCCTAGATATTATCCTAATATTTAAGTTGTATAATAAGCCATTCACTATAATTTTAAAAATGTCAGGATAAAATGGATTATTCTAAACATAAAATTTGTTACATTACAAGTTAGTAAAACGTTAACACATGTGTTTAAGACATTATCTTAATATCAAGAACTAAAAATGTAATAAATTAATAAAAAAAACAGTGATTCGATAATTGTAAGTATCTTTTAAAAGGTTAAAAGCTAATTATTAATTTGAATATTTGTAAAACATTAATATGTATATAAAATATTAAATTTTAATGTAAATAATGACTTATGACAGAACCTTTCAAGTCTCAAAGTACTTTTTAAATTATAGTAAAATTACTAAAAAAACTTGATGAAAATTCTTTATTGTTGTTTAAAATCCAATCTTATCCAAACTTGAACTTCAAAAGTTTATGAAACATTTTTGTGACTGAATTTTAAAATTGAATCATGATTCCACATTTTTACATTTACTACTTTATAAAAGTGTACCTACCTAATCAAGATTAATAAGGATATAATTGAATTTATTTATTGAACTTAACATTAAATTACCTATATAAATATAACATATAATTATTTTAAAAAATTCATACAATTATTTTTAATATAACTTCTAATATAAAGTTAGATTAATGAAAAAATTATACTTGTATTTATAAGATTTAAAATGTGTGATAGAAAATGTGTATTTAAAACAGTGTAAAAAGTTAAAAATTACAATTAAGTAATAAACCTGAGTATAAACTAAAACTGATAGTCATCAGAAATAACTAACAGAGATATATTATGATGACATACTATATCTTGAACATTTTATTTGAAGTAAATCTATAAAATTTTAATTAATTATAAATATGACTTAAAAAACATACATATTTAAGATCTAAAGTAAATAAAAAAGGTAGGAATTTAATTATAGGTTATTAAGATTTTAAATATATCTGTAGTTCTAAAATATTATACATTTTAAAATTACTAAATAACTTATAAAATTAAAAAATTAAAAACCCTAGCTTT